TTCTGATATGGATTTCTTCTTGTACTTTTTACAGGAACATACTTTCTTGCCCCAAACACAGATCTACCATGAACTTGTTATATAACTTGGTGGTGGTTTGGTGTGAAATGATAGCACTGTAACACATCATGCACTCAGTCTCGTATTTTCTGTTCTGTTCCTGCTATTTCCTCACAGCCACTTCTGCTTGGCCTTGTGCTTCCCAAATAAAGTATTATCGACAGGGTCTCATTGTAGGCTCTGCTTTCTAAAGGACTTTGGCTACAGCAAAATATGATGAATATTTATCAAAGGAAAGAATGAGAGACACTGTTTTGTATGGTTTATTACAATAAATGGTACGTGATATGGGCCCAAAGGAGTGGGGAAGCTGTAAATAGTAAGTCTTCCTTCTCTTCCTCTATCTCACTTCTCTTTTCTATTCCTTAACTTCATTTTTTAATTTTTATTTTATATATTACTTCTTCCTCATAATCCAGTATTACCAATTCTTCCCCTCTCTCCTTCTTTCACCTTGTATAAATCTTGAGAGCGAGAACAATTTTAGTAATTGTGGTAGACTTCACAGCAGTTAGCACATTGCTTGGCAAAAGGTAGATAAAAACTCAGTAGATATTTCCTGAATAAATGAATATATTCTTCTGCCCACAGTCTTACCATTCAATTTTAGGCATTCACTTTTTAATTTAAGACAGTTTCCTCTTCATTCCATTGTTCACATACACCTGCACTCCATTAATGAACTGTTCAGGGAGCTAGGGATGATGCTCAGTGGCAAAGCATTTTTCAAGCATGTGCAAGGCCCGGGGATCAATACCCAGTACCACAGAGGGTAGGGGGAGAGAACAGTTAGGTTCTCTTTTACAGGGTAGAAAAACTACATTTGGGTAAACGTGCTGAGATTACATTTACAATCTTTAGTTGAATGTCTCACTCAGCTTCATTTTCCTAGCTGGCCTGGATTTTTCTTGAACACGGAGCCAAGAGGTAATGGTGTTCTTTTTGGCAATGGAATTTCTGACAGTAAGTGATTGTTTCCAAATCTGTTCCTCTAGCCTTGTTGAATATGTGAATTCACTAGCAAAGTAGGATGTGGAATAAATAGACACTTATTGCCCAAACCTTTCTGCAGGAAATCTTTAGCATTGGCAATATTCTATTTAGCACATTTTCTTTTTCTTTTTCTTCTTTTTTTTTTTTGAGAGAGAGAGAGAATTTTTTAATATTTATTTTTCAGTTTTCAGTGGACACAACATCTTTATTTTATTTTATGTGGTGCTGAGGATCAAACCCAGCACCCCGCGCATGCCAGGTGAACACGTTACCTCTTGAGCCACATCCCCAGCCCGTATTTAGCACATTTTTCCCCTAAGCTCTGATTTAAACTTCTCATTAGATTTTAGGCATTTGTTGAGATTTCCATGTACTTAAGCTTAGTTAAGTGACTCTGTCTGTCCTCTGGCCATTTTCTGAGGAATACTTTAGAAGTGATGGATTTCTACATCAAGAGGAAAGCTAGGAAATCAGCTGACTTGTGATGGTACTTCTAAGTACAAGATTTGTGCATCTTAGAAGGAGATACATAATTGTAGCTCATTTTATTTTTTTAATTTACTTCTTTCCTTTTTTATTGACAACTAAGTTGTATATATTTATGGTGTATGACATGTTTCTTTTTTATGCATACATTAATGAGTGTTGAATAACAACATCAAGCTATTTGAAGTATGCATCAGCTCACATACATATCTGTTTTTGTGGTGAGAATTCTTGAAATCTACTTTCATGACAATTTCTAAATATATGTAATTCAGTGGGCCACTTGAATTTTTTTCCCTTTATACCTGCTTTTCTATTTTGTTTTGTTTTATTTTGTAACAGGGAATGAACCCAGGGGCACTTAACCACTAAGCCACATTCCTAGCCCTTTTTTATATTTTATTTAGAGAGAGGGTTTTGCTGAGTTGCTTGGGGACATCGCTAAATTGCTGAGGCTGGCTTTGAACTTGTGATCCTCCTGCCTCAGCCTCCTGAGACACTGGGATTACAGGTGTGCACCACCACGCCCAGCTAATACTTGCTTTTCTAGGATAGTACTTGTGTTAGAGACCTCTGGTTTGATCCAGTTGTCCCAAAGCTTTCTAGGCTCAAGATCATTCTTGCACACAGCCTTTCGATTTGAATGATCTACAGGCATTTTTAATTCAGTGTTACCTTCATTCGACTCTTCTCTGTCTTCGCCATGCTCGTATCAGAGGTTCATCCAGGGTTTAAAAATTTGTGAAATGATGTCTTTTTGCCACACACTCAGCTGAAAGACTAGGAAATACCCCCACCATCACTGATGCCTTTACCTGCCTTCAGCTCATCACTAAGTTCTTTTCATTTTACCTACAAATAAAATGTGTTTATCATCTTCATTTAATTTCCATCTCCTTCCACTTCTAGCACTGTTTTTTTAATATAGACTGCAATAGTAGTTTCCTAACTGATTTGTCTCCTTCTGTTCTTACTCCTTCCTAAATACAGTGGGGCATGGTTTTTGTGCTTAGCACAAGGCTCTGCAGACAGGCTAACCTGTGCAGAGCCTCCATCACTTATAAGCTGTATGATTTTGTACAAGTTAGTCTGTTTTTATCCTTTAGTTTCCTCATCTGTAATATGGACATAATGATAATCCCTGGCACATAAGAATGCTGTAAGAAGTAAATGAACACATACCACACACATCACTGAGAACAGAACATTATATAATAAGCACTATTGTAACTGCTAAGTATTAGTTGTTACTGTTTTTCTTCTCCACATTCCTGCCATAGGCATCTTCCAAGTGTAACATTATTGTGCAAAGTTATTTCAGTGCTTTCCCTTGAACTCAAACTTCTTAACATTACTCATAGGGCCATGTATGATTTGGTCCTGCCTACCTCTCCAGCTTACTTTATTTTACCCTTTCTATCATTGTGTTCCAACTCATACTGAGAGGCCTTGAGCAAGTTAGTTAAAGTTTTGGTGCATGATTTTCCATTTTGTGGCCAGAATTGTGTCACCCAGGCAGTAGAGAGCAGGAAGATCACACACCAGAATGTAAATGTCTTGATTCAAGACTGATACACTTAGGTGGTCCACTGAGGATATTCTTTATTGTGACTCAACCCAGTGCAGAATAGTCAGGGCAGGAAACTGTGGCCCCTAGCAAGGTAGCCACTTTCTTTTTTATTATTATTTTTAATTTGTTCTATTTAGTTGCATTTCAATTCATCATACACAAATGGAGCACAGCATTTTAATTCTCTGGTTGTATACAATGTAGAGATGCACTATTCATGCAATCAGACATGTACCTTGGGTAATGATGTCCATCTTATTCCACCATCTTTCCTACCCTCACAACCCCTCCCTACCCTCACCTTTGCCCAATCCAAAGTTCCTTCATTCTTCCCAGGCCCCCTCATCATAGATTAGCATACACTAATCAGAGATAACATTCAGCCTTTAGTTTTGAGGGATTGGCTTACTTTGATAGCATAATATTCTCCAACTCCATACATTTACCTGCAAATGTCATAATGAATACCAAAAAACAACCCAATCAATAAATGGGCTAAGTAACTGAACAGAAACTTCTCAGAAGAAGATATACAAGCAATCAACAAATATATGAAAAAATGTTCAACATCTTTAGTAATTAGAGAAATGTAAATCAAAACTAAGATTTCATCTCATTTGAGTCAGAATAGCAGTCATCAAGAATACAAACAATAATAAGTGTTGGAGAGGATGTGGGGAAAAAGGGACACTCGTACATTGCTGTTGGGACTGTAAATTAGTGCAATCACTTTAAAAAACAGTGTGAAGATTCCTCAGAAAACATGGAATGGAACCACCATTTGACCCAGCTATCCCATTCCTCAGTATATACCCAAAGGACTTAAAATCATTACATAGCCACACTGATGTTTATATCAGCTGAATTCACAATAGCTAAAGTGTGGAACCAACCTAGATGCCCATCAATAGATGAATGGATAAAGTAACTGTGGTATATATACACAATGGAATATTACTCAGCATTAAAAGAATAAAATTATGGCATTTGCAGGGTAGCCCCTTTCTACCACTGACTCTGCTCTTTAGGAAGGAAGCATGGATCTTTGAGGGGCAGCTAGCTATCTCTTCTACAGGCATTTTCTGTTACACCCCTATGTTGGCTTCCTATTGCTGCTATAACAAATTAACACAAATTTAGTGACTTAAAACAATAAAACTTTATTATCTTACAGTTATGGAGTACTGTAGTCCAAACTGGGATTAACTGGGCCAAAGCCAAGATTGGAGCACTGCTGCATTCTTTCTGGAGGCCCTAGGGGAGAATCTGCTCCCATCTTTTAAAGGTTGCCCTTATGGGTTTTTTTGTTGTTATTTTGTTTTGTTTTTGTTGATGTTGTTATTTTTAGATAAACATGACAGTAGAGTATATTTTGACTTGTTTTATATATATGAAGTATGACTTATTCTAGTTTAGATCCCATTCTTGTGGTTGTACATGATATGCAGTTAACCTGGTTGTGTGTTCCTATACAGGATAGGAAACTTATGTCCAATTAATTCTTCTGCCTTCTTTTTCCATTTAAAAAGCAATGACGTTGGATCCACCTAGATAATCCAGGATGGGATAATATCCTCATCCAAAGGTCACTTTATTAGCAACCTTAATTCCATCTGAAACTTTAATGCCCCTTTGCCAAGTAATCTAAGATATTCACAGGTTCCAGGTGGTTAAGATTTAGACATCTTGGGGTGGCCAAAATTCTGCCCATCCAAAACCTTTTTCTTTATATTTGAGAAATAAATGGGATTTCTTAAAACTAACGGGAGTGCAGTCATTGTGACTTTATGGATTTTGCTGTGTAATATAAGTGTACCGAGGTCTGATTTGCTTAATGGTTAAGACCTTAGGCTTTGAAGTGGGGATTGCCAGGTTTGACATTTCCAGCTTATGATGTTGGGAAAGTCACAAAGCTTCTATAAGCCTCCAGTTCTCCAGTTATTTTATGTGTGTGTGTGTGTGTGTGTGTGTGTATATATATATATATATACATAAATACACACACACACATACATACATGCACACACACACACAATAGAGTTGTCAGGATGATCCCATTTTAAAGGAGAGAAAAATCATAGCACAGTGACTAAGAAATAGTAAGTATTCAAAAAGCAAAGATATTATTATTATTATTTTTCTTTCTTAAGTATTCACCTGTTTATTATAGCCTTTCTAAATGCTTGGCACCATGCCAGATTTTTCAAGATACACGGATGAACAAATCAACCTTAAATATCACAAACCAAAGTCAATTTGGACACCCAAACAAATTACATGAGTATTATATGATGAATCTTGTATTCCAGGTAGGTAAATACTATTTTTTGAAGGCCAGATTAAACAAGCATCCTGGAAAGGGAAAGAATATGTCCTTCGAATTTTCTATTAAAATGGAAAAAAAAAAAAACACTTCAGCTTCCTCATCTGTAAAATTAGAGTTATAATATGATCCAACAGGAATGTTTCTTCCTGTAATGCGATTATGTAACCTGTTCTCTCTGGGAAGATATAAAATTAAAAATGTTTAGGAGCCAGTAGAGCATGACTCAGGAATTGGCCTGGACATTTTATTGCCTGGCTTGTGATATGAGGTGTATATAAGATGTGCTCCTTTATCTCTGAGAACAAGACACTACTCTGAGTTCTTCAGCTGTGGGGTGCATTCAGAACTGATTTGTAACAAACGTGGAAGTACCTTAATAGGAATTTGCAAGTCAGCATCTCAGTTGATTTTAATGCAAGAAGTTTTCAGAACATGACTTAAGAAGCATTCTTTTGCAACAATTTGATACAGAAAAAGTGGTAAAGGTAAGGATGCAAGAATAGGTATAATAGAATTCACGAAAAAAATTTTGCACTTTTCAAAGAATTTCCCAGGGCTAGGTCATGCAATTGAAATGGATAGTTGTAAAATGAATCTCCAGGGTTTCTAAGAACACAGTTGAGAAACAACTGATTCTAAGGGAATTGTACAAAACTACTGTATTGACTATTTGTAAATTCAAATGTGAATAACTACTATTCACACATGTCAAGAACTTCAAAGAATCTAAGATATTACCCTACTGATGAGCTAACATGTTAATCTATGGCTTTTGCATAGATATTGGTAGAAGCAAAGGTACCTATGTCCAGGAGAAAGGGATATTTATTACTCAAAGTCGTGTCAAAGTGTCATCATTTATACCAGTTTCTTGAATCCCAGTTCCAACAGTAAAATTCAATGAAAGCCCTGTATGCCTACACACACAGTGATGTGAGACAAAAGAGGAACCCTGGGATTTGGGGCTTGAAGCACACCTGCCCAACCTTTGGCCCCAAGGGTTGAATTATCTCTCTTCCAAGCCCATTTGTTATACAGACATTTTTGAGATGGTAATCTGAAACAAAAGCTGTCTGTATCTGTGAACACAAGAAGTGTTGCCTTATATATATGACAGACCCAGAGAGTTTTGTCTTTCAATAACACGTTAACACACTCTGTGCATGAAAACTATACCTGTGATAATTACATATAGTGAGTCAACTGCTGATTTTCCAATTATAATCAGAAACCATTATTTATACCATATGAAACAATAAAATACCCACGTCCTCCAAAATATTTGATTGATTAAATGTAGCATGCATGTAAGAGGTTTTAGTTATATTGTTTTACAGCATTAACACATAGAAGGCAATGATTATAGATAAACTATATACACAATGAAAGTAATCATAACCTTTTTTGGAATATATTACATTTTCCTGAATCAAATGGGTTTGTAGAGTTATTAAGATATGTAAAGTATTTATATAAAATAAATATATAACAATTTGGATTCTGCTGCAGAAACTCTGGAGATGCAAAATAAAATGATTCTATTCAACTTTTTGACCTGTGAAGCTGATATTCTGGAAATTCTACTCTAGATAATTAAAGGTTTACATTTATAGTTGATTTGCTTTCTATTGATCTTAGGTAACAGAAACAAAATTCCCCAAAGAATTACATAAAAGAATTTAAATTAAATGTATGGATCTTAGGAAATTAGAAATTTTTATTTCATAATGTTTTACAAAGTGAAAATGCTGTAAGTGAAATATAAGTTGAGCATCCCTAACTCCAAATCTGAGATGCTCTGAAATCTAAATTTTGAGAACCTTTTTTGATTTAGGAACATTTCAGAATTCAGAGTTTTAGATTAAGGATGCTAAACCAGTGAAGCCTATGCAAATATTCTCAAATCTGAAAACCTTTGAAATTACACATTTCTGATTCTAAGCAATTTAGATAAGGGATACTCAACCTTTAAAATGCAATTTGCTTATTTGGGGATTTTAACAGTAATTTTGTTGCTCTGGCTTTTTCCCTTAGGAAAATCTTCTTTCATTGAATAAATTATTTGGATTGAACTAAGGGGTGCACTACGCTGAGCTACATCTTCAGCCATTTTCATTTTTTAGTTTCAGAAAGTGTCTCACTAGGTTGTCCAAGCTGGCTGGCCCAGAACTTGAGAATTCCCCCTGCCTCAGTATCCCAAATAGCTGGGGCTACAGACGTATACCACATCACCCAGTGTGAATGTTACACATAATTAACCACCACCCTCAAATTATATCCTATAATTTTCTTTCCCTATTAGTTTGAATATACTGTAAACCTGATGAGACTCCTTTAGTATAGGGTTGACTAGATAAAGCTTACAACCTTTAAAAACTATCATTCCTAAATCTGATAACTTCATTAAAATAAATTAATTATTGACTTAATAATATCTTCCTACATTTATTTGTTTAGGTTAAGATAAAGTATAATTTTAACTAAGGTTTAAAGAATTGGGAGTGGGGAGAGAAAATTTAATTATCACTTAAGCAGGAATTATTAACACCTGTTGAAATAAGTAACCCTATGATACTCACCAAACACTTTGCTTCCTGAGCTCTTCTTGAGATTCTTGTCCTGAGTCTAGACTGAGCCTGAAAATGTTAAATTTTGCATAATACAATAGAGAATGTTAGAAAAATTGATATGATCTGATGCTTTTATCCTAAGATGTGCAAATTGAGACCTGCAGAAGTTGAAACGTGCATAAGTTCTCAAAATGGATCCATTGCAGACCTTAGACCCATGCCTTAAAATTCTTACCCTTGTCCGCTTTTCCACCATTACCCACGACCTGAAAGTCGAATGCCTGTGAAACATGTACCTTTTCTATTAACTTACACTAATTTTTCCCCCACACTAATTTACTCTGGTAAATAGCTAAACTGTGGAATTTCTTCTCAGCTAAATTCAGCAACTATTCAAGTTCCACAGCTTGGAAGGTGGCGCCAGGAGTCACAAAGCTCCCATGAGAATGTGTTTCCAGTGAAAATCACTTTAGGTGGGAGGGCTCAGTGTTGAGTTTGTGGCTTTAGCATCAAAGCTTTTAATGACTTGCTAACTCTAATTACTTTTTAGCTAAGACTTGCTGGATTTCTGTTTCCTAGTTGATCCTTATATCTTATATAATCCACATGACTTTTTTCTTTATGACCCTGCAGAAAACTCCTATTGTGATAATTCTATGTCAAAGATTTTTGAAAATCTGTAACCTTTTATACAAACAAAGATAATTATTTTTTATCCTATTTCCAAGTCATTCCAGGTGGAATCAAAGCCTAAAAGATGTGGCAGCTAAATACCATGCATCAATCAGCTTACTTTTGGAACTCTGTAGTTCCATGTATTAAATCTTTGTTGCTGACTTCTCTTTTATCCTTCTTAGAGGGGGAAACTGTGTAGTATAATTTAGGTCCTGTTGCAGATCAACACATTTTGCTCTTCTTTTCTTGTCAGATGTATGACTTCTTAAAGGAACTTTTTTTTTCTTTTGAGTCTTATTTTGAACTTTGTGTCATACTTTTAAGCTCAGCTTTACCCAGAGATTTCCTTATATCATTTATCATTCATTACAAGTATTCATTACCTGCATTTTGGCCATTTGTATTATGGGGTGGTTGGATTCAAACTTCTAAGATAAATCTATTTCTGAGTACTTTAATTTTGTTTCCATACAAGTATATGGGTAAACATTCTGAGCAGAAATGAAGGAACTAAAAGAGATTTGTATTCAAGTATACTTGATATATGGCATTAGATGACAGATGGCAGAATATGTCTGAGATTTTTGATTGTCACAGCCAGGAAAACAAGAGGTCTTTCAGAAGTCAACAAAGGAGCTAGGTTGGGAGGGGTTTGTCTTGAGGAGCAAGGGAAAGGAGGAACAAGAGGCAGGGGCAGAGAACTGGCAGATGGGTGATATTGCATAAGTAATATTGGGTGTGGGGAGCTGAGATTGGCATAAAGGATCTGGAATGGGGCAGTCACTGAAAAGAGAAATAGTATATGGTTAACTCATTGTTACATATTAATAGATATAGTAACCCAAGTCCTTTGTTCAAAGGGCTAAATTATATTATAATTTCAATCTCCGTAATTCTATAATGCCAATTTCCTCCCCACACTAATTCTTTTTGTAAGGAAAGCATACACACACACACACACACACACACACACACACACACACACACACACATATATATATATATATATATATATATATAGAGAGAGAGAGAGAGAGAGAGAGAGAGAGTGAGTGAGTCTTTGGTAACTTTTTTTTTTAACATAAGAATAATGGAATAGACCATTTCTTTTGGCAGGGTAGAGAAACTTTCTTGCTTGTGTTCATACTGCATACTGTCAAATTTTTTATTACTTGTGCCCAATATTAAGGGATTATCAATTCCAAACCTACCTTTTTTATGTTGGTAAAGGCTAGAAGTTATGGTGTAATATAACATTAATCTTATAATGACCATTCCTTGTTATCTTTGCTAACAAATATGGTGGAATCCTAATGTTTACAATTTGAAAGGGGATTGATTGGTGCAGATGTCTCCTAGACATAGTGAATTCCTCCTTGAAGTGACCCAGGGCATGGTTTCAGGTGGCATGCTAGTGATAAGTAATTCATTACAAAGTTGAAATTATTCCACAGAAATTCCCCTTGTATA